TCATTCCTTCTGATAGCATGAAAATCTTTTTTTCCAGGAAGCTGAAGCTTTGCAAAGCAATTCCAAAAAATGGCAGATTTTTTCTTCTTGGCTTTTCTTAGCTTTCCTTTTTTGAGATACTGTTGAAACTTAAAAACATGATTGAATTCATGCATGCCTTTATTTATTGAGCTATTTATGATGGGCACAGATTTCCCTAAGCCAAAAAGCCCCCTCCCTCCTCCTTCTCCAGCCTTAGTAATCAGCTTCCTTGAGCTCCAGCCCACGCTGGGCTATTTTCCTCTGTCAAATCCTCCATCATTGGTTAAATTACCTAGGTGTTTGTTGGCTTTATCTTTTTTTTGGTGAAATCTTATAACCGTTCAAGTCTACTTTGCCCAAGTCCCTGTCATCCTCTTAGGTCAGGACATCCTACTTCTCCCCTGGCTGATTCTGTAAAAGATCTAATTTCAACAAGCTGCTGCTCTGAGGGCTGAAGTCTGTACTCTGGTGCCCGTGATGATCATCTGTGTCCATCAAGGCTCCCAAGTGCTTTGAAGCTACAATGACTTGCAGATGTTTGGACTCCTTTGCACATAGATGTTAAATGCTCCCTTCCACCACCACTCCTGTCTGAAACGCTCCCCTTCCACATTTGGCTGCCCGTGTTCGCTGCAGCCTACATTCCCCGCACACCTTTTTATGCCACTGTGCTGTTAATGAGCATATCTGGCACGGGCTCTGGTTTGTCACCAGGGTGCCCCCTCCCACGCTCACGCTGGCAGCTGCCTTCTGACATGTGAAGACACGCTTCACTCAGAGTCTGTCGAGCGAGCCAATCTTAATCTAGGATGCTCTTTCCTTTTGGCTCCCTATGGAGATCACAGGACCCCATTTAATCCAGCTCCCTGGCAGGGTACGACTGAGTCATAGGAGGTTTTTTTTTCTTCTGTTGCTACATCTAACAGAGCTTTGCTATCAGGAGCAGAACATCAACCCGCTTGGCTGGGAGTCGGCACTGTCACCCAGCAGCTCTCCTTGTCTGGAAGTTGTTTTGATTCTTTTCTTAGACTTCTCTCTCTCTCTGTGTGTCTTTCTCTCTAAACATTAATTTCCTCTAATTAGAGACTCCTTAACAATTCTTTTCCCCCCTCTCCTCAGTTAATTTCCTCTAATTAGAACCTCCTTAATAATTCTTTTGCTAAATCAATTTCCTCAGTTAGAACCACCCGCCATAATTTCTTTCCACCCTTTCAAAAGCTGTCGGAGTAGCTAAGCAAATTATGCTTCTGGGTAACCTTTATCTCTTGCTTGGTATTTTAAAAGAAGGATTGTAACAGGTTAGACAGGCACAATTTCCCCTTCCAGAGCTATGCTGGTCTGACCCCATTAGGTTACACTTAGCTGAGTGTTGTACTATTGTATACTTAATTAGGCGCTCTAGCTGTTCCTCTGGAACCAAGGTAAGGCTGCATTTATGAATGAATTAAACATGACACTTCATTATTCAGATCAGATTTAACAGTGTCAAAATCCATCTTTACAGCAGACCAAATTGCTCTCAAAGAATACGTAAAACCTCCTGCCCCTGTTAGCGGTCCTGTGAGCCTCCCATTCCTAACTTTTTCTCTGCAGCCACGCCAGCTTTCTTCTTGTGATAACCCTTTTAAGCACGAAGTGTTACTAAAACATTAATTTTTTTTAAAAAAGATTTTTTTATATGTGTGTGCGCTTGTAATTTATAAGTAACTAACTATTAATGGCACATTGCTTTTCGCAGTCATTCTGCTGGGTCACATTAGCAGTTGGTGTAAGTGGAGAGGCAGCTGATTTACACATTATGGACCATGGGCCTGAGTTTCCTTTTCTATGTTAGGCAGTTTTCTCCCAGCTGAGACTGTATTATGTATTTATCCCTTTAAGATGGACCATAAGGAACAATCTTGCTATGTCTGACCTCCCTGAAACCTACCACGGACGACTCGCTCTGTGATTTTGGGAAGAAAAGCATTGGTGGCAACTGGGAGGACCCACACAGTTTTCGTTAAGTCTGGGTTTTTTAATGTAATTGGGAAAAAAAATGAAGGAAACACATTTGAGCTGCAGGAGTGCTCTCTCCTCACCACTGCGCAGTGGATGCAGCACTGTCAACTGATTGTGTTCCCTTTTCTAGCACCCCTTTCTCAGGTTAGCACCTACTACCAAGCACAGATCTCATGGTTTCCACAACCGTTGTTGTGAAGGAGAGCACTGTCCCGTGATGGTGCGTGGTACAACAGGGCAAAGCTCACATGAGACAGGCCAGAGAAAACTTCCTCACAACAGGCTCATGAGACTGTTTCTGGTCTTTGTAGCGTAATGAATTTCTCCCTCTTTTGGCTACGTCCAACACAAGCTGCAAACCTGCTCCAAGTCCTGACCACCAGGTGGAATGCCCCCATGGACCCTGGAGAGTCTGCTCCGGTAAGGCAGATGGGCCCTTCAAACTTGGGATGTGCTTTTTAGCACCATCTGATGAGAACCAACAATGCCTCGGTGGGTGGATACCACTTGGTACAAGTGGAGTGACCCATGAAGAATGCTCCTCAGAGATTCTGTGGGGAGCTGGTGGAGGCTTGCAGCTACTCCATCCTATCAGTACCACTGTCAGCTTTCTGGGCAGGTTTGAAACATTTTAGCCTAGCCCATCTAGTGTGGTAAAGCTGTACCGCTGCCTTCTGTCACACTTCTTTCCTTCTGACTTTTCCAGGCTTCTAGCACTCCACAAAGTATGTTCTGGTGGAAGTGCTGCAGAAGTTTCAAGATCTACTTTATTTCCTTTCGAGTCTTAATAACTATGCAGAAAACTCCACTTGCCATCACTTCCCATGGAATTTTGGAGTGGGACTGGATGGAAAAATGAGATGCATTAAGATTTTTGTTTTTGACAAAATCCCTAACGTTTGAGATGGGAATAGGATGGGCCTGGGCAATCTTACAAGGAGTAAAATTCTGGTGGTGCAGGAGAGGGAGTTATCTGGGAAGGGTAGATTCTCTAAAAAGATATGTTAGAAGGCTAAAAAAAAGCTGTCTGGTTCTTCTCAGAGGAGATGAGAGAGCAGGAAGAGGGAATCACCAGGCTGGATTGTTCAGATCGACAGTCGACTACAACAGAAGAGATGCTGTTCTCCGTGCTCCTTGAGAAGCTGGTCTCCAGTCCGTTCCAGCTGAGGACAAAGAATGGCTAGAGATAGAGATAGGCAATCCAGTAGACAATATTGAAGAGCAGGAAGGCGGTGGGGAAGAAGACGCGAGAGTAGGAGTCCAGGCGGGAGATGTGAATGCGGACCCTCCCCTCCCGCCACATCCCTGTCTGACAGTCCTCGATGCAGCAGAAGAACCTCTCGCATTCCTTTCCTTCCAGGCATGGGGAGCCAGGGTCGTCATCCTCATCCTCCTCTATCTCTGCGGGCCAGTGCATGATGTTGTTGATGTTGATGGTGGTAAAGGATGGCATCACCTGTGCACCGGCTGGTGGCTGTAATGAAAAGGGTAGGTGGATTAAAAGGAAGGAAAAGGCAAGAAAACATGTTCTAGACACCAAACCCCATCCAGTTGGCAGTAGATCAGTTCATAGCAGAGGTGCAGTTCAACGGAGAGGGATGACTCGTCATCCCCCATCTCAACATCTGGTTGTAAATCACTACCTTGGCATACTGTGGAGCCTGGCAGCTCCCTGCATGATTGTGAGTAATCTTCCTGGCACCCTAGGGCACAGCCCCAGTCAGCAAAGATCTGACTGCTCTGTGCCCCATATCTGCCATAAATAGTCAGTGCGGAAGCAGGACCTGTTTGGTTTCAGCTGTGTTAGTCTCTTCCCTCATTCCCCTGAGCTTGACTGTCTCTGAAGAGACAGCACACAGCCCAGATGTGTCTTCTGGTTGCCATCAGTTGCTGGAGAAAAGCTGGGGAAAGAAGGCTGTGTGTGACTCAACCTCTCAGCCCAGAGGTTTGTCACCAGTCTCATGGAGGAGCTCTCTCCACTCGTGAGGGGAAATGAGGCTAGCACAGAGGACATCTGTCTTCTTTGGTTTCCATTCTGTCTCAAATCAGAGGCCTGTTTCAGCTGACGTGTCAGAAGTACCTGCTTGGACAGATCTCAAGAGGATGATGATGACTCTGGGTTCACTATCCCTTACATTCAGGAGGTCTTCCAATAGACAGACCACAAAAGAAAGTAGGTTTCTGCATCTGTGACCTAAGATATCTCTGTCACCTAAGATATCTCTGTAATCCACAGAGGTCAGAACAGTACAGGTGGAAGAACCTGGATATGGATCATCCTGTCTTAAAGCTGACATTTACATTTGGTCATGTGAGTCTGTACTAAGTCCTTCTGCAATTTTGAAGAGAGCACCCCTTTGACCTACCAGCCTGGCTTTCCTGTTGTTGTGCTCGAGTGGCTTCTTGTTTCCCACCAGGTAGTTGAGCGTAGCGTACTCCATGAGAGCTGCGAAGACGAAGATGAAGCACACAGAGACAAAGAGGTCCATGGCTGTGATATAGGAAACACGAGGAAGGTGCTTGCGAGAGATGGTACTCAGGGTGGTCATTGTGAGCACAGTTGTGATACCTAAGAGAGAAAAGAGCTGGTTTAAGTAACGAAGAGGAGCCCTTCTGTCTTCTACATGCATCCAGCCCCCAAAATATTCTCATTTCCCCTCTCCAGCAGGGCAGAAATTCCTCTGGTTGCTTGGTCCTATTTTTGCTCTTCTCAGCCAGATTCTGGTCTTGAGCTGCCCTCTGACAGTGCTGTACAAAGAGTGGTTCAAGACCCAGGTGTCACAGAGGCCATTAAGGTGGACTGGTAAAGGAACAAGGACTCTGCCTAAAGCTGTACATGGAAATAACTGCTTGGATGATGGGAGAAGAGTCCAAAGGCAGGACATGCTGAGAGGCAGTAACATTGGGTGGACGGATTTGAGCAGGCAATGGTTGAATTGGGAATCAGTCGGTGATGTCTGGCTGAGTCAGCAATAAGCATGGCAACGTCTCAGATGACACAGGACTGCTATTTATGTCTGATGTAAACCAGAGCTGGAATGCAAAGGTCTCTATTCTTGTACTCCCTTTTGTCTCTGATTGATGAATCCAGCCCAATGCAGAGCTCACAGAACTACAGAATAGTTTGGGTTGGAAGGCACATTTAAAGGTCATGTAGCCCAACCCCCCTCTGCAATAAGCCTTCCTTGCCGGATTTCTTACACCTGGCGATTAAGAGCTCTTGCACTCTTTGGGAAGCATCCTTAAAGATCTGCCAGCTCTGTTTTGCTTCCTTGTCCCTGAGAGCAGTTTCCCAGGGGGTCCTATTGACTAACTCCCTGAAGAGCTGGAAGCTTTCTTTCCTAAAATTCAGGTTCTTCGCCTGACCCGTATCCCTCAGGACTGCAAACTCCACCAGTGCACGATCACTGCAGCCCAGGCTGCCTCCAGTCTTGATGGCACCAGTTAGCTCACTTGTGTTGGTGACCATCAAGTCCAGTATCATGTTCCCTCTGTCTGTTAAGTGGCTTCAGAAGTAATCCTTGATACACCCCAGGAGTCTCATGAATTGCCTGCAGCTCATCTGCAGCATCTGTTGGGGTGATGATCTCATCCACTGTTTTTTAGGATATGGAGGAGAAGCAGGAAGTCCACCTGCTCCTCCTTCTCTAGCATTCATCTAAATCCACCTGCTACCCTATCCTGGGGTCAGTGGCTCTGGGTGGGAGCACAGGAAGAGATTTTCATTTTTCCCTTCTGTATTTGCATTAGCAGATGTGATGTGACTTCCCATATATTTGAAATGCCAACAGAACTGGTCAGGTTTGTATCTCCCTAATGTAGGCTGGCGGGCTTGAAATGAACTGGGGATCATTTGTATTAAGTATAACAGAGGCTGTGGAGAGAATACATTACTCTTGATGTGCTGAGGTCTCTTCCCACAGAGAGGGGCCCCTCTCCTGGGGAAACTTGGCTTTGCTTTTGAGACAGCCACCACAGCGGTGTCAGCTGTGCACAACATTTTGCCTCTTGCTGTTCATTCCCTTCCCAGTCACAGACAACGGTGTGCCCTCATACCCCCGCTTCCATTGGAAATGACACCCCACTCCTCCTCCTGCTCTCTCCACGGGCACCAGAGGAATTGATTTTGATAGGAAAGCGGGGAGAGATGGTCAGAATGGACAGGCTCCGAAAAGCCCTGCCTGATGCTGATGGCCTCTCCCACCCCACCGAGTTCTGCAGGCAGAACTGGGAACACCAGCTCCAATTAAAGAGAAAGTCAGTGGGACTGATGGGTAAGACAGCGCTGGGAAGCAGAGCTTGCTGCAAAATGCAGATACAGCCAAAGCGCATTAAAGACTTGTAAAGACTTCTCTAGGATTCAATCAACATAAATTTTTTCCTGCCTCAAAGAGCCACTGCAGGTTGCGAAGAAAATCTAATCCATAGGCACAGCTGTTGTCACATCTGGATTTCCTCCATGGCGTGGCTGACAGAGAAAGGCTGTACCTACGGGGCTTCCACACCCTACCAGAGCTTGGGATTGCATGGACACAGCCAAGCAACCTTGCTCATTACCCCACAACCTTCATGTCCTACACTGAGCCCTTGAAAAATGATGAGGAAATGCAGAATACATAGGTGTGAGAGGAGCCCTTTGGCCAGCATTGCAATGCCACAGCTCACCTCTTCCCTCTCCCTTTCAGTGCATGAGAACACCACACTATCAACTTGGAAAAGGCTGTGTTTTGGTCTCAGAGCAAGGTATGAGTGCTGTGCTGCCCTGAAATAATCCAGTAGGCAAAGCCAACTCAGTTGGAGATTTGGTTGAGCTTGACAATAGTGTTGCAAACAGAAAGACAGAGGAGTGGACTATCCTCCAGTAAGCTGAATAGTGCCAGAAAATGACAATGGGCTTTAGTAGATTTTATATTCCAACACTGCCAGTCTGCTAACAGAACTTCAGAGTTCAACGAGCATCAGACATTCAACAACATCTCTTACCCAGAGATGTCCTAGCTGGTGTAGAGTCTCTCTTGATCCAGAAGGAAACCCAGGAAAGAACCACAGTCAGGATGCAGGGAATGTATGTCTGAATGGCAAAATAACCCATACGTCTACTTAGGTCAAAAGAAACTGTCATCACCATGTACTCCCCTAGGAAAATGCAACAAAAAGATTGGAGTCAACACATGGCTTCCTCAACCACAAAAATCAGCAAAGTTTCAGAGTTTGGAGTGTTACCGATGAGATTTTCTTGCTGTTTGAAGTGCCTGGCCAGCTGGTTTTGGGGCTGCCCAGACTGTCAGCTTCATGGACACCCGTGTAGCTGGCTGAGTAGGTTTCCTGACCCACTGACATTGTGGCTGGCTTGCTGGTTTTGTGGCTAGTGGACTCTATGGCTAACTGGATGGCTCTGTAGCTGTCTGACAATGTCTTTGTGACTAACTTAAGACTTCGTAGTTGCTCTATCTGGATGTTTCAGGGCAGAGAGTATTCAGCTGATTGCTGCAAGGGTTTCTTTTCTGTAGAAGCTATTTAGCTGTAACAGGCTGCACGGCTTGGCTTGCTAACTCACTACCTGAATTGTGACAAAGGAGGTGTCCTTCAATCACTTCTACTGAGACTCTGGTTCTGCCCCTGGAAAAGGCACATGGCATTGTACATCCTAATTGCTCATTTGGTGTCTTACAGCTGAGGTTCTTCCTCTTTTTTGGAGGATCCTAGTGAGTACTGGAAGAAAGCCACCTGACAGCTCTAGGGTTAAGATGGAGCTTGCAAGCAATTACCAGAAAAAGAAAAAAAAAAAAAAAAGAATAATTACAAATGTCAGACAGCCACTGGTGCATTCAAGACACTTTCACTGCACCGCTCCTTGTCCTGGTTTGTGCTGTCTTTCTAGCCTTATTAGAGGCTGGCTGCTGGTGTTGGCAACAGCAGCTTTCTGCAGTGTGGGAGAAGCACTGTCTGAACTTGCTGCTTCAGAGGGCTTAAAATACGAGCAAAAAAAAGGAATGCAAAGAGGCTTTCCTGAGTTGTCTGTGGCAAGGAAAGGGGATATGAGCTATTTCGAGGAGGACCTGAAGGGCAACCATCCACACATGCAGCCTTGTTCCTGTCTCTTGACGTGTAATTCAGGTGTTCCTCAGCCCCACACAACTTTACAGATGGAAAGATTGAGATTTGCAAGTTCTGATCTCCACACCGCAGTTCCAATCACAAACGTCAGCTAGGGATCACACAGAATGCACCTACTGAAGTGAGAGGGGATCTGAGCTACATCTCCCCTCCCTCCTGGCCCTTCAGTTAGGGATAGCTTCATTCACACCAGCATTGCCATCCCACAGTTCACAGAGGTCACCTGTTCTGGCCATCTGCTTTGTCTTCTCCTCACCCTTCATCTCCATCACTTCTGCTGTTCCATCCCTTCATTCTTATGTTTCTCCAACTGTGCTGTTGTGACCTTCCTTCCCCACTACTGTGGAGCCAGTGACTCCTTTGCCTCCCAAGAGGTCTTCCATGCACTGCTGGTTCTGTGGGCTCTCTCCCTTTGCCTCACCTGCCCCAGTCCTGAGAACTTCCGAGGTGTTCCTCAGCCCTGTGAAGTCAAACTGGTAGAGCCTCCAGGTGCGCTGGTCAGAGACCTCGATGGAGTAACGCCTCCAGCGATAGACAATCTCCTCACGTGGGTAACCATCTAGGAAAAGAGGCAAGGATGTCAATGAAAGTGTATGTCATGTGCCTCCACCTCCTCCACCACCCTGACCAAAAAGGGACTGGACTCGAGCTGTTTTGTAAACATGAAGCTTCCAGGCAGGTATTTCTAGTGCTTTTTGTTTAGATTCCCTTAAGCATCCCTGCATGTGATGGGAGAAGGGACAGCACCTCCCTTCATGGACCACTTCAAACTCTAGGGATGGGAAGAATTGCAGAATCATAGAATCACAGAATCATAGAATCACAGAATCATAGAACAGTTTTGGCTGGAAGAGACCTTCAAGATCATCCTGACAACACCACTAAACCATGTCCCTCAAGGCAACATCCACCCATCTCTTAAACACCTCCAGGGATGGTGACTCAATCCCCTCCCTGGGCAGCCTGTTCCAACCGCTGTCAATCCTTTCAGTAAAGAAATTCTTGCTAATATCTAACCTGAACCTCCCCTGGCACAACTTAAGGCCATTTCTCCTTGTCCTATCACTCACCACTAGGGAGAACCAACCAACCCCTGCTTTGGCTGTCTCTGTGCCTTTTACCCCGGGAGCTGGTCTATGTATGGAAAAGAAGGGGTGCATCCTCCACAGAGGAGGAGACCTGTCTCCTGCAAGTTGGATCATGGCTTCTCCTGGCTCTGACTTTCCCGACAAAGAAACAAGCCTACTGTAAAGCAGGGACCTCAACACCTACGAGAGAGTTCCATAGAGCAGGGAAGGAGCAGGAGCTTGGCAGCTAACAAAAAGTGTGTTTCTAATTACCAAGCGTGCATGGCATGTACTGTTAATTAGCAAAGAATGAAGGATGGTGGGAGATGAGGGGATGGTATCTACTCAGCATGCTGCCTCTCTTCAGTGGCAGGGGAAGCAGGAGAGGTGAACCCGAGCTAAGATGACTAAATCAGATTTCCAACCAACGCATGAAGGCAGGAATCCCTGAAAAATTACCAGTGGAGATGTGCCAACAGTAGCAGCCCTCTCTGCTGATGAGAATGGACAAGTTGGGACTGAGAGGGCAGCTCTGAGTACCCCACTTTGAGGTGGTCTTGGGCACAGAAAGTGGGACTGTCTCTGGGCTGAGCCTGGAAAGTCAAGCTGATCCCTCAGAGATTGGGAGAAGGGGGAAGATGCAAGGCAGGACGGGTGCCTGCTAGCTGAAGGAGTATGTTTTGTCCAGAGTGCCCAGGAGGTTATTGAAATAATCACTTCCAACCATCCACCCAAATTAAAGAGAAACTCAGAGGTGCTGTGAATCTGTCCGTGAAGACCTCTGCTAGCCCAGAAGTTGGAGGATGCTTCAGGGCGTGATGGGTAATGGTCCAGGAAAAGAGTCACAGAGATTAGGGGGAAATTGCAGCTAAAAGGGAGGATGGTCTACCCAGAACGGTTCTACTCTACTGAGGTTTCTCTGCTTGCCTTCTAAAACTATTTTTAAAAGATGTATACTTACAACTGGAAAAAACCAAAGGGCAGGAGTGAGTGTCCATTGGGAAATTCTGCAGCTGGAGCAGACATTCAGCCTCAATCGTCAGCCTGAGAGAGGAAGAGAGAGAGAGGGAGACTGAGATTTTGTGTCGGAGAAGGTGGTTTGATTCCAGCACCACACTGTGACAGAGGGATTCTCGCTTCCTTGAGAGAGAAACACTAATTTGTTAAAGATCAGTCTGTTTGCAGGAACATTTCAAAACAGCAGCAAGACAAAACATATGTTTGGATATTTTCAAAGTGAGAAAAGAAACATCTAATTTTCACATTCAAAAAGTCTTTTTCTTTAGTGAGCTTTTCAGATTCATCTACAGGAGTGAGAATTTGTGGGAACAAAAGACAAATGTTTATTACCAGAATGAAATAGCTGGACTGACCAACATAAACTTTTCAAAGTATTTTCACTTAGGCAACCATTTGTAGTTTTGATTTTTCTTCCTAGGCATGATAAGGAAAAATAATTTGATTTTTTTGGAAGCCTTCATCCTGGGAAACACAAGCCCATTCTGCAACCAGTATTGCATATGTACGCCCATCAGCACCAGGAGACATCTCCAGGGCACCTGGAAACCTTCTCTGCTTTGACCAGCTCCTCGTTCCCTCACCTCAGCAGCCAGCTATGGCACCTGCTGGATGTACCTGAGCGTGTAGAGCACTTTTCCATCATTCCAGATGCGGAGGAGCTGATTAGGAGTGGTTATCCAGTGGGAATCAGCCCGCTTGGAGTTCCTAAAAAAGGTATCTGGGATCCAGATGCGGCTCACCATGTTGGTGTTCAGCGTGAGGGCCTTCAAGGTGCTGTTGAAACGAAGACGTCGGTCATACCACGTCTGAGCGAAGAAGATGTCTATGGTGTATTCCTGTGAAAGAGACAGATGAATGTGTCTTTCTGAGAGGGATTCAGGCAAAGCAGAGCCTTGTCCTCTCGTCTTCAGGTCACCATTTTGGAGGCACAGCCAGAACATTTGCCTTTTAAGTCTGGGAGCAGGTGTTGGTGACCACCAACACCTGTCCAGGCTCATCTTTAGCTCAGAGTCAGGACATCCACGGCACACGTAGGAAGAGCCAAAGACTGTGCACCGACTGGCTGGCTGAGCCATAGCATGTCTGGCCTGAGTGATGCCTGAAAAGCCAAGACGATGCGAATAAGGGCTTGGGCTTCCTCCTGACAGACAACTCAAGCCAAACACTCCTTTAAGGGCCAGTGTGGACATTGCCTGAATTCAGTCCTAAATTCAGCTCCACCTTCTAAACACAGGTAAGAAAAGCTGCTCACCACCTTACCAGAGAAGGCAAGCAACAGCTCTTTCTGCTGTTTATTAGGACAGAGCTCAGCAGTGCTCCATACACCTAATTTGTATGTATAGCAATAGCAGTGTTGTGCATAAACCTAGTGAGAATCCATACCTTGCTGCAGGACTTATACTGTAAATGGTTTACATGAAAAAAACGGGCACTGTGGGTTCCTGGGCAAATACCCCTTGCAGAAGATTGGAAAAGGAAGCTAGGACAGGGCTGCTATGGACTCAGCTGTTGCTGCAACCAGTTCAAAATCTTGAGTCTTTTGCAGACAGAAAATAGAATTTCTACCATAATGAGGACTGTTGGTTTTGGTGTGTGAGAGAGGATGTCCTAGCTCACCCACAACTAGCATTTCTGGGAGGCAGCTCCTGTCTGGACTGGACTGGCAGTAGTCCACATCATTAGCCCCCTTTCCTGCAGGTGCCACTGCAAGCCAATTTGCTCCTTTCCCTCTTTTTCAGCCTCCCTGAGAAGGTGCTGATTAGTGCCATGAAAGAGCATGTCTGGCACTCAGTGGCTGTCTGAACCAGACCCTAAATCCAGTTCCACCAGCCCATACTAAAGGCTGTCACCTGCTCCTGATGGCATCTCTCTGACTTGGACTTTGCCCCCTTTCACTCTTGTTAAACCCCCACGACCGTGGCGGAGGCATCGTCTCCCCTCTCACCTGTGGGCAGAGATGAACAATGTCTGACTTTGCCATCTCTCCCTCCCGTTCTCCTTCTCCCTCTATTGATTTATCTCAGTGGAATTTTTATGACTGCAGCACATCCTCCCTCCGCTGCCCTTGCTGCTGCTTCAGAGCTGACTTCTCAAACCATGCTGCTAAAATAGATGCGGTGCTCTTAGCGTGCTCCCTTGGACAGCGTGTCCTGCCGGGGGCAGGCAGAGCAGGGCAGCGCACAACTCCCTGCTTCATTTTCCTCACCCTCGCTCCACTGTCAGCTCACCAGTGATGACTGATTGGTATCGAAAATGTCCCTTGCATAGGAATGAGATCATGGGGGAAAAAAAAGAGAATTTGCCATCAGGAGGTCAAAGCACTCTCTGGGTTGATCCTTCACCCTGGTTAGGCACAGGGATGAGCAAAGGTGGTGGGGACAAGGTCCTAACACATTTCTAAATGGGGACAGATGCAGCCTATTCAAAGTGATGGCATTGACTTTACAGTTTATTCAAAACAGGCATGAGGAGACACAGAGCTAGGAGAGCAGCACCTCTCAAAGCCAAGCACACAAGCATGGCCACTGCCCAAAAAATGGAGATGGGAAAAGGTCCGTCCAGCATCTGAATGCTCTGGGTCGCGCTGGGTACTGCTTAGACACAGGACATGTGGTGATGAAGGCATGGGTCAGCTTGTGGAACAGTGAAGTGGAGCCCACAGGCAGGCAAAGAAGCATCAACACAGCAGAGACAAGATAGGATAAGGGCAGGCCAAGAAAACAACGTAAGTGGGGAGGGCTGGCTTTATTTGGATTGGAGCCAGCTGTTTGGGCTAAAATAATACAACATTTGACATATTGTTTCCCATGTCTGCAAACCCTCTTTGAGCCACTATGATCTTACCTTGCTCCTCCTAAGGAATATCTCTGGTGTAGGAGAAAGCAACCCAAAATGCAATGATAAACCCATGTCAGATGCCACCACCAGTTTCTAACTCCTATCTGGAGTCATTTGTGAGATCTTGCTTCTAGGCTGGCTGCTCAGGTTAGATGTCCTGCTGTAAAGTTCAGCATTCAGGTCTGGGGTAACCAACGTTAACGTTTCAGAGACACTCGGGAGAGTGGAGGGTCAGCTGTCCTGGGGGTTTAGTGTTTGTTGTCAAGTTCGGAAGGGATCAGCATTAAAGAGCTCCTCTTGCGCCATTCATAGCCTGCCTTTGCAGAAGGTGTAGTGCAGAAGTCAGTCAGCTCTTCTGAAAAGTCTGAGCTGTTCTTGTCACTGTCCTGTGGTTTGATCTAATTTCAGCGGCTATTCTTAGCATGGCTATTCACGAGGAACAACTCAGGAGCTGAGCTTGCTCGCTTGCCTCTCGGTGAGGAACTCACTGGGGAGCACTGGCATTTACAGATGTATTTTCATTCAGGATTATCTGAGGCGAGATTTATGCAAAATTACTGTGGCCTTTGGGAGCACTTTTGCCATTCTTTTCCCCCATCCCACTGAGGAGGAGCGAGTGAGCAGCTGGAGATGCCAATGTGAAGCAGCTCAAGTTGTCTTCTGGAAATGCCTCACACTCTTACTGACCTTGGAAGAGTCCAGGCCGGTCAAGGTTGAATAGCTGAAATTTGGCAGGAATAGCTCAGCCCCTGAATCTCACGGCCGTTCTGTTTCTTGAACTCCCGTAGTTTCTCTCTGCCCCTGATTCATTCTCAAGCATCAGAAAGAGACTTCTCAATACCTCCACTTCCCCACATTGGAAAAGGTTATTGTAAAATACGCCTCCGACGTTACTGTACCATCTGCTGTGCAGCACATGGAGGTTGTTAACTTCTCTGTAAAAGCACGGGCTTTTTTCGTGTTTTCGACAGAAGGAGCTAGTGAAATAAGAAGAATTGCTCTAAGAGTTAGGTCGCGCCGTTTGGATCGCACATGGGGCAGCACACCCGTGTTGGCATGCGTGCAATATTACATCAAACTTTGGCTACAAGACAATAAAGCAAACTACCTGTAAGGCAAATCACCAAAGACTGCCTAACCTAAATACTGTCATGTGAGTTCATCCAATGCTGAGGAACGGCCTGCAGTGTCACTGCTGCCAGCTCTGTGGGCTTGTGTCCAACTCAGCCTTTCAGCATGTCCCTGCTGAGACCATATCTGGAATGCTATGTCCAGTTTTGGGCTCCCCAGTTCCAGAGAGACAGGGACCTACTGGAGAGAGTCCAAGGGAGAGCTACGAGGGTGATCAAGGGACTTGAACATCTCTCTTGTGAAGAGACACCGAGAGAACTGGGGCTGTCCAGCCTTGAGAAGAGAAGGCTGAGAAGGGAACTTATTAACATATAGAAATATCTGAGGAGTGGGTGGCAAGAAGAAGGGGCCAGTCTTTTTTCACTGGTGCCCAGTAACAGGGCAAGGAATTATGGTTATAAGCTAGAACATAAGAACTTCCACCTCAACATGAGGAGAAACTTCTTCCCTGTGTGGGTGCCGGAGCCCTGGCCCAGGCTGCCCAGAGAGGGTGTGGAGTCTCCTGCTCTGGAGACTTTCCAACCCGCCTGGACACGTTCCTGTGTGGCTGCCCCGGGGGACCCTGCTTTGGCAGGGGGCTTGTGCTGGATGGTCTCCAGAGGACCCTTCCAAGCCCTGACATTCTATGATTCTATGATTCTGTGATTCTATGCTGGCCCTTGGTTGCCATCATCACCCGGCACCACCGCACATCACTGAGCAGTCCTCATTTTCCTTAAGTGGGCAGCATGGATGCTGGTGGAAATCTAGTTCCAGAAAATGGTAAAATCTGAAAATATCTAATGGAACTCCCCCCCCCAAACTGTCCTGTAAAAAAGAGTTTGCAGGAAATTAGGGGATGTGTTGCTGACAAGAATATTTCATCTTGAGGTTAAAACTAAAACAACAACAAAAAGATTTTACTGCTGGGATAGAGCACAAAGGCACGGAGTCCTTCCAGACTCATACTCTACTATAGTACACAATAAATAATATTAATGGCTGGCCTCTCATGAAACTGGTTTCCAAAACCCAGGTACCAGAGTATTATGTTTTTATGGCTTTCACCTCTGCAAACTGACTCGATTCACCTTCTCCTTCCACAACTTCTCAGGGGGACTCTGTACAGCCTCATTCCACCTCCGATCCTTTCCTGCAACTCGACAGGTCCCATCAGCGAACAGGGCTTATTGCCTCTCATTTTCTGGCAGTTTATTGCACGGTGGGGTCTTTTGAGCACGTGTCACCTCCTCCTCTGGCAACACCCCAAAATCTTTGTCTTGTGGACAGTTTGTGGTCATTTCTAAAATTCCTGGGTGACTGGGGTTTCCTATTCCTGGCCCAAAGGCTACCGCTTGAATTATCTGCTGTTAAATTTGTTCAAACGCTTGTTGTTGCTGAGGGCTCCGTTTAAAACTATTCTGCTTCCAAGTCACTTGACAGAGGGGGGGCTTACAATCAGACTGCAATTTGGAATATACATTCTCCAAAACCCCAGAATGCCTCAGAAAGCTTGTGGTTCCTTTTTACTTGGAAACACTCTGCTCTTTTGTTGATCACATCTACTGGGATCTGATGACGTCCATCTTGCCATATTACCCCAAAAAACTGGATCTCCTGTGCGAGTCCCTTAACCTTACTTTGTTTTACGGCAAAAACAGCTTCCAGAAGCATCTTGACGATTTTCTTCCCTTTCTTAAAGATTTCTTCTGCTGTGTTGTCCCATATGGCAATGTCATCAATGTATTTCAAGTGTGGGACCTGATATAGAATGATATAGAATAAGGGGTGGATACTGTGCTGGTTTTGGCTGGGATAGAGTTATTTTCTTCCTGGTAGCTGGTACGGGGCTATGCTTTACTGTGAGAATAATGTTGATAATACACTG